CTATAATTATGTAATGAAACTTTAGCTTATAGGAAGCTCGCAGCTTAACCATCCCTATTGTATCACCTTATTAATTGATTCGACTCAATATATTTTAGTGCAATTTATTGTTAGCTAGTTATGTTTATTGTGACGTAACATTTTTTTGATCAAAATCAATTTACTAGTCTTGTAACTTACTTTTAATAGCTCAGCTCCCATATTTTTTAAAAAAAAAACCAAAAAGAATTTTTTTTCCTCCATAAATTTTTTTAGTATAAAAATATTAAAAATATTATTTAAAAAAAAGGTAAATCGAAGAATAATTTTGTCTTCACAATTGCTTTTTAGAAAGTCAATCCAATTTTTATTTGTTAATCCAAAATTGTTTATGGAATAGATATGGACGGCAATTTAGTTTATGTTTAAATTTCCTTCCACCTGAAGTTGAAAAAAGAATCTAATGAAAACTTTAATCATGCTATAAATAGTCTATCGAATAAAGCGATAAAACCTGAAAAATCAAAACAAATGTAAGTGAAATAAAAATAGTAATTGCATTGTAAAGTAGAATACTAAAATAAAAAAAAATTGAAGCAAATGAGAAAATGCTTGCCTATTATTTAAAACGAACTAATTAAAAAAACTCATCTTCCAAATTATTAGAAAAAACCATTCAGCATGACCTGAAATACATAACAGAAGAAATGTTTTTTTTAGTCAAACAATTCGCTGCGCCATAAATAAAATCTTACAATAACAATCTTTATATTTTTAAAAGGCATCATCAACTTCTTTACCTTTATACAGTATATAAAAATAATATACAACATGTATAGTCTATTATAGGTAAAAATCTTTTAATATATTTTTTTATAAAAATAAATCTGCTTGGGAGGCGAAGTACCCCGAAAGCTGCAAATTTTAGTTATAATATATATAGTCATTTTAGTCATTTTTGAGGTCATTCAATATCATTTGACAATATAGTAGCTGGCGTCACGTAATTCAGTCGCTTTGGTCACTCATAAAATTAATTAGTTCTTATTGAATTAGAAACATTTTTTTAATTTTTTTTGACTAAAGTAATTGTTAAATTTAAAACGTCATGATACATTTTTAATTCGTTTCCATATTAAAAATTATATAATTTATTTAACTCTGACGATACTTATATTAGCTTCCATAACCGATTTTTATTCTTTCTTATATGGTATAGAATTAATAGTATATATATCCTAAAATTTATGTGCTTCATTATAACCTTTTCGGTCAAAAAAAACAGTTTACAAAATAAATAATTCTTTCGCTCTGTTATAACTTGACAGTAATTGTTTTGGAGATCAAATACTTAAGAAAATCTTTTTTTCAAAGTTTCACCATTCATTGCTCGGTGGCTTAGAAACTTGAATAAGTTACATAATTTACCTAGCGCATTTTTTCAACAAAATAAAAAAATCAAAATGCATTAAACATTGCTCTAGTTCTTTACTTAATTGATGTTGTAAAAGTTGCGCCTCACATGATCAAAATTTTACGTAAATACAATTGAAATTATTGTGTGTTGATTTCACCTTCACATTTATATTTTTATTTATTTTGCTCGTAATAATATTGCGGCATTCCAAAAAATATAGCTTTGACAAGTTCATGTGCTGGCAGGGCAGAAAACAGCTAAAAATTTCCTTTTATTAAATGCTGACTAATCGCTCAATACTTTTAATGCTAGCAGCAAGTTTCAATTATCTTATCAGAAAATTTCAAAAAATTTTTTTTTTGTGGTAAATGAACCAATACTAAATTAAGAACTTGAAATTCAAATGTTTTTATTTCGGTACTTTAACTTTTAATAAACTGATCAATAAAACAAAATCTTTGTTTATTGGTTGCAAAATTGATGTTGACTTATGTTTCGGGCGAAAACAGTTTACCCAAATTTGATCTACAATGTGTTTCCAAACTAAAGGTTTCGGACATATAGAAAGTTCATTAAGTTAATTTAAGAAAATCGGTTCATCTGAAACATTGATGTTGACGTTCCTATTTGTATGAAAAACGATGTTTTCATGTCATGTAAAAAAGTAATTTTTTAATAATATTAGTATACCCATTTTCAATATTGTATTTTTATTTACCCGTCTTTCACTCTATATTTTCAAAATTTTTAATTTTAATGATCAATATAAAAGTTAGTTATTAAAAAGTAATATCAAAATAGATAGATTGATTTAATTTATAAATATAACTTTAAAACAATAAAATAAATATGAACATAAATAAAATAATATAGATAAATAAGTATATATATATAAAGCATAATTATATTCTAATTATATTTAACAATTTTTTTTTTGTTTCAGAGTCTATAGTTTCTTTATCCATAAATTTCTTTACTTCATTAACTTCAGCATAGTAATAACTACAAAATATAAAATTATGGTTTAAACAAAAAATACAAAAATTATTTCAAGAAAATAAGTAATTACATTGTTTCTGGAAACCATGATTTCCACCGTCGTTTTTGATTCGGAAGAAAATAGAATAATTCAATTTCTTTAAGAATCTATAATAATACAGAGTACTGTTAATAGAGTATCCAATACATTAAGCAAACTACATTTTTACTAACCTCTGCTTTTTGTGCTATATAATTTAGCCGATCATTATCTGCTTCAATTGCCATATTTAATAATCCAATCAACAAGTTCATGAGAAATATGACAATAATAAATGAATATAGAAGCATTAAAATAATCATTATTATATTATCTTTCGGCGACCATTTATTAAATATACTTCCATCTCCTATATATTTTTTAAAGGCAGAATATTAATAAATTTTAAATAATTCAAAAAATTATAAAATTACATACCTGTTAGGAAAATACTCATTGCTAAAAGAGAATTAGCATAATTTGAAAATAAATTGGTATAATTATCGGGAACTTTGTATATGGTCATATTTTTGTTAATATTCCCATCCCTATCAACTTGATAATATTTATCTGTTAGACTCCAAGGATTATTTGGTTCTGTTAAATTACCTAAATTATCCTCAGAAAAATAAGAAGTGGGTCCTAATAAAATCATAAATGCGTGTGCAAAGCTTAATGTAATAAGAAATAAAATCAAAAGAAATGAAGAAATTTTGCGAGCGACACCAAGTATTATAGCAAAATAAACCCCAAATGGTTCAAATGCTCGGAGAAAAAGTATAAATTTCATTTCAAGTATAAGACATGAAATTGAATATAAGGAAGGATTAATCACTCCATTTTTGTACCAAATAATTGATGTAACAGTAGGTAATAAATAGGCACCTAAGTCTAAATTTTAAATAATAAATAAATTAAGAATATTACAATGAGGCAAATTTATAATAATTAATACTTACCAATAAAATTCCAAAAATTTAGTAACCATCTATAAGGATTCCAGATAAATTGACGAAATTCAAATAAAAGATGAAAACAGCCCAAAAATATGGACATTAATAAGAAGTAATTTCTAGTCTCTTCATCTTCACTTGAAGCTACTATAAAGCTATAAAGAAAAATAGTATATATTAACCAAATTGTTATATAATAATATTTTCCATATACTCTCCATTTAAAATTAATTAAAGCTTTTCCATTCCAAGTTTTATAAAATTCATTATTTGCTTTGATAAAAGGATTTGATTGAGGTATTAAAAAATCAAAAAGAGGAATAGACCATTCAGGTAATTTTTTATAAGAAAATGTAGAATATGAATAAGGATATGAAGTATAGTAGGGAAACGGAATTAAGAATGAAAGTGTCGGTTTTGTAGGTTTGCTTCGTTGAATAAGAATCATACACATCATTATAATACTAAATGTTATTGGATAAGTAAATATCGAAAATGATATATCAATTATTGAATAATAAGAATAATAATTAATTATAAATATAATAAGTAAAGATCGTAAAATGTATTTAAATTTTTTTCCAAATTTTCTATATAAAATAAAAATAATTATCAATGAACCAAATAAATCACCTGAAAATGCTAAATCGAAAGTTGCCAATAACGATAATAGAAACACAAAAGAATTATTTTTACTCAGTAACGGTAAATACTTATTAAAAATAAAATATAAAATAATTACAGATATACGCGGTAAAATTAATATCATTAACAAATCTTCTTGTTCATAAATTAAAGTTATTAAGGTAATAATGGTTGTGTATAAAAATAATAAAAAATCTTTAGGCATTCTGAATAATAAAGCTAATTTTCTTTTTCGATAGATTATTTTATAATAAATAAAAATAAATATAAGTAGTGGGATATATAAAATCCAATACATTATACCAATTAAGCCCACTTGCGAAGTTATAAGTAGTATAACAAAATTATGTAATGTTATGAGAATTGGAATTGTCCAAAACTTAATTAATTCTTTATATTCTTCATAATGATAAGGTATTGAAGTTCTTATGATTTCTAATTGTTTGCAGAGAGAATAATGATGATCAACTTTTTTATAACTAATCTCTTGATTTAAAGGGTCTAATATTAAATTTGTTTCATCATAATATTTTAAAATATAATCGTAATATTTGTCCTTTAAGTATAGAAAATTATTGCACACTATTGATAATATATAAAAGTTACTTTTCGGATTTTCTTTAAAATGTCTAATAGTTGTGTTATAAATTATCTTATTAAATAAATATTATTTTGTTTGATCGCCGATTTAAATATCTTTTCTCCATATAGCATAAAATAATATTTTGTATTCAATAAATAATCAATAAATGACTTTTTTGATTCATTTTCTGTTGGTTTAGCAATGCATTTAATTTCTAAAGTGTTTAATTCGCGATTATCATACAGACTTAATATAACATTTCGCAGAATCATCACATTTACAGGGATAATATCGTTTACATTTGTCTCAAAATACTCATCAACAACCTTCATTTTATCCTGGATTAAAGAATATTTTTGATCTATATCCATAAATATATTCTCATTATAGTCATTGTTAGAATCATTCATATTTTCATCAAATATTGATTTTCTCCAATCATGATTTGCTATATTATAAATATAAGGTTTGTCTGGTGATACTATAAAAATGCATTTGTCCTTAAATTCGATATGAATACTTTTATCGAGATCTCCAAATTCTACTAATTTATTGCAAATAATTGAACCTTTTAGATTTGATTTCCAAAAATAAATATTAATAGTTTTATTATATAATGTAATCATGAATTCATCATTATTGCCGGCGAATTCAAATTCTTGACAATCTTATAGACAAAATAAAATAATTGTTAATTAGAAGTATAAAAGTTCAATTAAAGTAATTCATACATACTTGGATCATTAATATTTCCAATTGGAAAATTTATGTGGTCTAAGTTTTTGGAATATATATAATGCTCATCAACTATTTTCATAATAATAAACTTTTTTGAGAATTTGAATTTCACTTGATCAATATTTAGATTATTTTCCTGTATAATACAATTATCATATTAATATTATTTCAATATATATCAAACAAATTTTACAATAAAGAATCATATACGTACAAAAAGCGAAAACTTCTGAAGTTGGAAAGTAGTTAAATCTAGTAGAAAAATTAAACCATATGATATCATCCAAATCCTATCGCTTTTAAAACCTCCAAATCTTATATCTTTTTCATTAAAAAGATAAAAAGCCTTGCGAGCCAAATTTTTTTTTTTTGTATATTCATAAATCAAAACTGCAGGATTTATTAAAGCGCTGCTATTGCTCTGAAATGTTACTATATTCCCATCTTCAAGAAAATTCGTATGACTGTAGTCACAAAGTTCATCTTCAATGTTAAAATCTTTGTTATTTTTCAAATCGTGGAATTTTGCTAATAATGATACGAAAAGTTAATCAATGTAAAATTTTTTTGTCTTTTATTTAATAATAAATTCAAATCTTACCTAGAGCTTCATCAGTATTATCATACAAAATGATCTTGTTATCAGAGACCTTGAAATTTTTAATGCCCTTACATTTATATGGCTTGGTTTCTGTATCTAAACTAAGATTGAAAGGTTCTGTACGTTTATTGACAAGCCATCCGACTAATGATTCATCTTCTTGACTATATGTCAAAAGATAATTTGATTGTGATGATATTGCTACTTTAGATATTGGTTTATTCTTGTGTGGTAAAGTTGAAATAGAATTCTGATGTGAATTAGATAAGGAATCATTGATGTTTATGCTTATATGATTCCGAGACATTGTTTGTTTATTTGCAGAGAATTTCAATTGTTAAGAAATAGGAAATGAATAATGGGAAGATGAGAAAACGAATATGAAAAAAAGATTTAAATAATATAATGGAGATCATATAACGAGATAAAAAAAGATCTGCCCTCGGAAGTAATAGACCAAGCCACATAGATTTGTAACCCGCTTTGTCTCACTATTTAAGCAGTTATTTAAAGCTGAAGAGTCATTACTGGTTCAAACTAAAGATTGAATAGCACAGATGAGACTTATAATATATCAACTTAGAGGAGCCCGCCCGGCCCGGACATAAAACGTGAAAAACTTGCTAGTTCCGTTTTATTTTTATACTAAGGTAGAGTTGTAACTAGCTTAAAAATACTTAACCGTTAAAAAAAGTTAAAATGTTTTTTCAACCGGTTAATTGTTGCATAACCAGAATCTTAATTCATGTCAGAGTTAAAATTAAAATTTTAAGCGGTTAAAGAAAATTTTAACAGGTTAACCTCTTAACCGGTTAAAAATTTATCGGTTCCAACCTTTAAAATAGGAAAACCTGGCGTCAATAATCATCCGCCAACACCGCCTCCACTCACTGCATAATCGACCAAAAAGATCGTACCCGAATATAAAATTATATTAAAAAAATAATTCAAAACCTTCCTCATTAAGTGTAATTGAAATAAATTAGCTAAAAAAAAGATCAATAAAGCTTTATCTTTTTTATTATTGGTCTAACAAGATTTAAGTTAAAAGCATATTTTCGAACGAAATATCAAAATTCTTAAATAAATTGATGGTACAATCAGCCCCAGCCCCAAGTAAAATTTTTTAAATATGAATATAATATTATAGTACGGTACGATCATTTATTTTGGAAAACTACCGTAATGATCAGACAGGGAGGAGGAAACCGGTACGGTACAATTGTAGAAAGTACCGTTCCGTATTTGGAAAATCGTACATTACTGAGCCGAACCGTACGTACCGGTTTAATATGGTTGGTTCAAAAGTATATACTTTCGTGTAACATTATCTTTGAAAAAATTTTTGCGCTTTTAAATAAATTTAAAATGAATCAAATATTTATATTTTATATTTTATGCATTTTTAAAATTAAAGAACAGAGTATATATTTAAAATAATAAAAATGATTAAATAATAAATCAAAATATAATGAATTTATTAATATTATATTGTAATTGTAAAGTACTAGTTTCAAAAGTTTATTAAGTTTTAGTTTTTTTGAATTTATGTCCAAACCATACAAGCATTAGTTTCACTGAAAATTTTACCAAAAAATCGCGATACATGCTCCATATTCCCATACCAGTTTCTTAGGCATTTTCGTTTGACAAAATTGTTCAAATGCCGTTTTGAATGTCAAAAACAAAGCTCGTTTTAGTATGATTAAAAAAATCCATAGCTTCATAACCATTCAAGCTGGGCTTATAAAAACTAATATGAAAGTATTAACGTACGCTTCTTGACATATTTAATGATCTTGAAAGTAAAAAAAAAATTTAATTAGTTAAAAAAATAAAATCAATGTAAAAAGTATTTTTACCTGCTGAACAGGCTTACTTAAGCATAGTTTGATAAAATTTCGTATTGAATTTTTTATACTACGAAATTCACGTTTATTAAGAAATTACTTGTGAAAATACACACATCTTTTTGATAATATTCTACAACTTAAGTCATAAACTAATGTTGAAATATTTATTAGCTTTATTGATTAAAAACAAATTATTTAATCATGTAAAGGGAAATAAATAAAAGAGATAAAGGATTTATTAAGACAATATTGTTTCACTAATTTGAATAACAAATCTTTGATTTATGGATATCAATAACGAATTGAGATACAATACAGATTTCTTAATTGATTTTGAACTATTTTTCCTTCCCTGGGCTTTGTTACGGCATTCCTTAAATATATCAATGTAGTGACGGATGTACAGTGGTCCAACAGAATTGACGTAGATTGGATCGTCAGTGCCGTGATGATCAAATTTTGGTGCAGTGGGTAATAATTATCATTGCAACACTTTCTAAATATGAAGTATGGTATGGAAAGTCTTAAACACTTCTTAAGGATGATTAAGTCGACTGAAAACTGAAATTAATTATTAGTACCAGCTGTTTAAGGAACTTGTAAATCAGGAGTTACTTAATCCGTTCTATTTATCCATTTGTAAAATGAATTTATTTATTGCATTGTTCGATTATATTTTAACAATTTGCTTTGTCAATTCAATAATTATTTAATATGTTAAATTATATTTCTTCTAGTTCTATTGTGATTTCAAGGTTTATTCAACGATCTTTAATGTGAAAATGAGACTGTATTTTCATCAGATTACTTTAAATTACTTTTACATATTAGATTATTACCATACGATTTTAACTTTACCCTCTAAAAAGAAAGTTTATTCGTAACTTTATTTTTATATCTAATGCGCCAAAGTAACCACCATAAAAATAATTTTTTTTTAGAAAATTTCTGTTGCTATTTATGGTTATTTGATATAGTTCATATTTAACCGGGAGGTCATATAGGCATATTTATCTTTACCCCGAGATAAAGTGTAGGAAATATCTTGGTCTCATGGTAATCAAATATTTCAGATGCAAAATTCACTTTTAATAAAATAAACTATGTAATGCAATTATGAATAAATGCATTTTCAAAATATATTTTTTCAAATCGAAATTAAGACCGCAATGGTACGAATCGTTAATTCTGCTCATTGTTCTCATTATCTGAAATAACATCTTTTTTTTTTTAAAGTACTTTGAGAGAACTAATATACTTCACTATTATTCTAAAAATAATTTCAAGTAATATAAACATTAAAGTAATTACAAAAGCAAAATACATTTACTTTCTATGTCCATCTTAGAAATTACCCTGAAACTATAATCTTCATTGTGAAAGAAGGTATGGGCGCTTTGCAGTAGAAAGGTACAAATTCTAAAAAAATTTTTTTTGAGTTAATATTAAATCTGAATTTAACATATAAAAAAAATTAAATTTTTTTGTAGTTTCGTACTTTCTTCAAAAAGTCATTATAAATTCATGATATTCCTATCCTGGCTTATATAATGTGCGAGTAATTTTATAAGAATGGTATTGTCTTTGAAGATATGGGAACATACTTTTCATTAATCTAATGGATCAAAGGATGTAAATCTTCAACAGTATTATCGTTATTGACAAATCGTATGATGTGTTTCACAAGTATTATACCGAGATTGTCTAGTTGTATTGTACTTTTAATGATGAATTTTCATCAGAATTTATTATCAATAAAATAACATAAGATATCATTATAAATTAATATAGATAATTCATCTACGTCTAAAAATTTTATTGTAACTAAAAATAAAAATTACTTTGTCATTTGTTCCTAAAACAACCTTCGAAATTAATTTAATTCATGTGCAGTAAAAAATTTTTTCTTACCCGCCGATCCTTTTTTGGCGCAAACCGTCAGATGACCTCGATTTCACCAAATATAATATGTATGTTACCAAATATATGTTATTTTTACACTCTTCAAAAACAAATTTACAATTTTTTTTAAAAAAAAAAAAAATGTCTGCACAATTTTTTCCCAAGTTAAGCCAAAATTATATTGACATTTTAGATGATGAAGAATATTATGACATTACAATCGAAGTTGGCAAGGATCCGAATGTGAAAATATTTCGTGCTCATATGAACATATTGTGTTATCGTTCTCCTTATTTACGTCGAATGTTGGCTTCTAATAAAAAGAATAATGATGACGCCCTAGTTCATATCAAATTGCCAAATATTTTACCAGAAAATTTTCAAGTTATTTTGAAGTAAGTATACTGTATATCTAAAATGAAGCTAAGATCAATTATCAATTATATTTCGTCATCTTAAAAATTTTTTTGATGTAGGTATATTTATGGTGGAATTATATCATTAAATGAACAAGATACTTCAGTTTTTTTGAAAGTATTGGCTGCTGCTGAAGAGCTTCTTCTTCAGGAACTGGTTGATTATTTACAAAATTATTTAATTGAAAACAAATCTGAATGGATGAAACAACACTTTGATCTCACTCATAGAATAAGTTTTCAATTTAATTCTTTGTCAAAACTTCAAGTATTTTGTACAGATTTTATGGCTAAATCACCTGAAAAAATATTTCAATTACTTGATTTTACATCACTTCCTGAAAAGTCTTTGATCTCACTTATCAAAAGAGATGAATTACAAATGAAGGAAATTGAAGTTTGGGAACATGTATTAAGATGGGGACTGGAAAAAAATCCTACGCTTATACCTGATCCTTCAACTTGGTCGGATGAAGATTTCAAAATGATGAAGAGTACTTTACAATATTGTTTGCCCTTGATTAGATTTTTTAGTTTATCTTCCGAGGATTTCCTTGAAAAAGTTCGTCCGTATAAAAAGATTTTAAGTCCCCAACTTTATGAAGATTTGTTAAAATCTTATTTGAATCCTAATAGTGAACCAAGTGATAATATTTTATTGCCTAGGAATCGAAAAATTGATATTATTGATTCAAAAATTGTTAATTTAAATATTGTATCTTTTATTTCAAGATGGATCGATAAATTAGAAACTAAAAGCAAATTCACTTATACTAGAGAGTTGTATTTACCATACAGTTTTAAATTATTATTTAGAGCAAGTAGGGATGGACTCAATTCCAACAAGTTTCATGAATTATGTGATAATATACCTAACACCGTTACATTCGTCAAAGTAAAAGGTACAGGTAAAATCGTTGGTGGATTTAATCCTTTAGTATGGGATAAAACAAGTGAATATGTACAAACCAAAGATAGTTTTATATTTTCTTTTAAGAATAAGGATAGTCTTAAAGATACAACTTTGAGCCGTGTAAAGAATATAAGCAAAGCAATATATTGTTTTTGTGGTAATGGACCATCGTTTGGTGAAGGTGATCTTCGAATAACAAATAGATACGGCCATTATCCTATTATTAAAATTAATTATATTAATTATTGCAGACTAAATAGTTATGAAGAGAGTATAAGTTCAGATGAAAATTTTTTTATAAAAGATTATGAAGTATATCAAATATTAAAAGAAATATTATAATATATTTATATAGAAATATTTTTTGTTTATCAAAATTCCTGGTTAAATCTGACGACTCATGAATCATATTTACTTTAATTTTGAATTATTAATTTTAAAAAATTTTTAATCATATTAAATAATATACGTTTTTAGTATCGGATGTCTTGCAACGTTCAATAATGAGGCGTTCTTTTATTGAAATTTTTTATCAATAATAAATTTTGAACTTAAAAATATCAATTTAAAATTAAAATAATATATTTATTTTTTAAAATGATTTTACCTATAATTTACATTTTGATTTTGAGATTTCTAAGAATCCCGTAATTCTAAACGTTAGTTTAATGACACACATCTCTTCTACTGGTATTAATACTCGTCTATTTCCAAACACCCAGCGTAATCTGTAGCTTACCAATTTGAAAAATAAGTTAAAATTTATCTATCATTTGATTCAGATTTAAAAAGAATCTTTTATAATGTGCTTTCTTCGCTTTCTTCTTTTCAGCAATGTTCGAAGTGAATAAGATTTTCAAATATTGTATTTTATACTAGTAAGGTGTCAAAAAAAAATTATGTATATTCAACTTTACCTTTGAAATAGAGTATTTGTTCTTATTCTTTCCTTTTCCTTCTCGGAGGGAGCAAGAATTATCAGTCAGAATCTTTAATATAAAAATAGGAAGCGTTAATAAATAAATTATTAATTATAAATGATCGGATTTATGCGGAATTTAGTTAACAAATTTTTTGTCCTTTTGTCCTTTAAATGTATTAGATAAATGTTATATTTATTAAATGTAATTATTTACCTCTTATTTTTTGATTCAGATTCTTCATTAGGTTCTTTTGAAAATACTTAATTTTCTAAACAATATAATAATTTGAGACCAATTAAAGTTTACCTTATAGAAATAGCTACTCCAAATTGTTGAATTCTATTTTGGTTATCAAATTTTATCATTGGATAATATTAATAAAAACTTTAAAGTTCTCTTCTATTTCGCTTATGACTAAATGAGATAGAACTACAAATTCTAAATTTAGATTAATGTGCTTAATTTTGTATCTTTTATCAAATTATTCGGCTTGATAATAAATGTCATACTGTCTCTTATGAATCGTTTTTGCAATGCACGATTTTAGTTGCCGCGCGATTGCTAATCATTGACAATTAATTGTAATTTAACAATAATACCAATTTTCTAATATTTGAATTTTACATAACGTTACAACAAAATTCTGCTTATCTTCATACTATTTTCATAAATTTGCATTATTAAATCCTGAAATTTCAAGTTTTTAGCTTCGTTAAAGTTATACGTTTTCAACTGTTTGAGATAGTGACCTGGTTGTTTACATTCTGAAGGATTTTTATTTCATATTAAAATTTTACTATTCTCACGGACTGTTATACATGACGTGGCTAAAATTTAGTTCTGCCGTCATCAGGGCAATGAAATGACATGTTATGTTAATCTACTAATCATTGATAGTTACCTATAATTATACATTTTTATGTGGTTAAATTGATTTGTACAACCATCATCTTTTGTTTAAATAAAGATTTATTTACACAGGGTATATGATTCCTTATCATTTCAACTTTTGAGTTCAACAACTTTGAATATGGCACAGTATGTAAAATTTCATTTAAATTTTTTTCTAATGTAATCTAATTAATTGTATCCAACATTCTTTTATTCAATTTGTAAAGAACCCCCGCCTGGAACAAACTACAATCAGGTAACGAATATCTATTGATTAAATAAATCCAAAAAGCGACATTGGAGGAAATCTTAGCTTAACAGCTTCGTCATTTTTAACTTTTGGAAACAGGTGCTCCTGTCTATCAAACAAATGATGGACTTGGTTTATCATCATATTTTACACCTGCTCCCCGATTTGGATTTGGTGTTACAACTGTATCTTCCAGAATTGAAACCGGACTTACGAGTTTTAATCCTTCAAATTTAGCAGTACATCGGTACGTTGTTAAAGAATAATTATTATTTTTTAGTATGATATATACTTTTTTTGAAAGTCTTATGTCATAAAGAGAAATAGTTTGTTTTCTTATTTATTTATAATTTAGAAAAAATTAAAAATAACTATTTAAATTAATTTTAGGGGACAGCTGGCAGCTAATATCACAATGGCAACAAAATTTTCTGATCTCACTGAGCAAGATCAAAATTCAATTATTGACATAGAGTATCCTTTAATATGAAAAAATTCTACTCTATCTGCAATAAGAGTTTAGTTTTTATTATTTTATTCTTAAAATAATTTCAGGCAATACATTCAAAATCAGAAATCAATAATGACAAATATCGAGTCCACTCACATATTGAACTTACATGAATATGTGAATAAAATTACTGATGAATCTCGAGCATTATTTCAGGTTTACATTAATATTCATTGAGAAAGTTTTGCTTGGATTATTCATTGTGTAACAATAATTGATTTCCATGAACTTAAAACCGTACCGTGTAGAAGATGAACACTTTCAAGAATGAACTACAAACTGTTCATAATCAATTAAACGAGCGATCAAAGGATCTAGAGGATCAAATCCCAATTGTTGATATTGGTAAACGTATTTACGAGGAGGCTTCTAAAGGACTATCCGAAAATATTTTGCAACTTGGAGATAATGTATTTTTCAAGTATGAGACAAAGGCTTAATTTAGAGATACATCCTTAAGCTTTGTAATATTTAAAGATTTTAATCATGTTCATTTAATATTAATTTTTAGTTATTATTATGACCTTGTAAAATCTTTCGAAGAACGATTGAGACAATATTCTACATCAATTGAGGTTAATATTTCTTTCCTTTCTTATATTTAAGACTTTTATCTAGTTTTAAATCCTTTCTCATAATATAGGAAATAGATCGATATTTTTCTTCGTTGTTTCGACAAGGTAGTGAAATCGAGAGTAAGTTATCATTAAACTAAATTGGGAAATTATCAGAGGGTTTTAGCCAAATCTCCGTATAATGTGCTACGATATTAATATAGTATTCTGTTGATACAGATACAGATCTTGCCGCACTTAATGAAACATTGTTTTGCCAATATCAAAGTTTCATAACTATTACTGGAATGGTAGCAACATTACATGAAGAAATAGATAATCTTCGAAAAGAATATTCAAATTTTCGACGATTTCCTAGTTGTTCTAATTCATTTGAAGTACAAAAAGAGCAAAGTTTATTAATTTACAAATTTTCGCAAATAAGATTCGAGGGTGACTTGCTTCGATGAAGTAAGTTTGGTATAAAACTTCTAGTAGCTTAATTACCGGAATAAATTGCAATGTTAATTGAGTTTTATTGTATAATTTGTTTAATAATAGAAATTTGGCGTAATCAACAATTGTTGCAATAAATGAGAAATATTTCGGCCTTAATTTTAACTATTGTATTGCACTAATCGAATAACCAATTATCAAAATAATAAATAAAAAGTTACAATTGCTTTTCATAAAGGTTTTGTTTTTAAAAAGTTTAACGTCTCGCATCATTGAAATATTAGCAACTTTATAATTTTGTATCAATCAATTCAAATAAGTCTAGAAATTAAGAAGATAAAAGTATAATCATTCAATCGTACAAATTCAAATTCTACAGATCACTCGCTTGGTTTTATTTCAAACAATTTCATTTATATTGATAAAGCGTCAAAACTGCAAATAAAATATATTCAAATCCAAATCTTTGCGTAAGATTAATTTAAGTTATTGGTCAAGGAATAATACCAAATTTTGTGTCTTACTGTGTTCAGAAATGATCCGATTATTCAAGGAAATTCTTTGTCTTTTGGCATTTCGTAAGTGCATTAACACTGTTATATAATTTTAATTAAATGGGATAATAGCTTCATATGATCCAAAACGAGCCACAATAATAAAAATATAAAGGCATCGTTCTGGAAATATAAAGTGTTATTTAATTATTTATATGAAATTTCTCAATAAGACCGAAAATTTGCATAGAAATGTGAAATTAAGAAAGTAATTATAGTATTCATAAACGTTATTTTTGTTGATATATATAAATATTTATATTGCTAAAATGCTTAAAATCAAAATTTAATTGTAGTTTTGCAATTATTTTAAGTATTAATAATATATATCATTTATTTTTACCTCATGCCAAACTATATTAAACTTTCGTAAATATATTAAGAACTTATTAAATCCCGTCTAATTAAAGGTTTAGAATTTTCAAATATATTTCGTCTGGAAACTTTAAAATATTTGGTAATCCAGTCAGAGAAATTTTAATCAAATTTAATTAGCTAAAATTAGGGATGGAACATGGAACAATTGATATGTTAAATACACTAGTAAGAATGACCGGTTTGTATGTTAATGGCGACGCAGTACAGTAACCACGAGTTATATAGACATATAATATAAATAAAATAAATTAAAATTAATATTATTAAAACTAAAGTATCTGTCTTATAAAAAAAAATTAATTTGAACCAGATCGATTCGAGAGATCTTGTACATTAAACCGGCAAACATTTCAGCTACAATTATTTTACCGACATTCGTTTTTCCTAAAGGACATAACATACAACAGATAATTTTATTATATTTATTTAAAAGTTATTGATAAATATATTTATCGCTTAAAATTATTTTACTTGATCTAATAAAATTAAAATTTTTTGTATGTTTTATTTTCTTAGCTTGTCAAATTATTGCATAGTTACAGTCATTGAAAATTTATTTCAATCAATCAACAAGTTTGACAATCCTTTGGGCGATTTTTTTTCTATAAATGTTCAAAGAAGTATGAGATAATTAAAAATTTAATTAATGTAATTAATATGTACAATTTCGTTCTATTTTCGATATAATAAATATTTTAAATTTTGCAATAAATATTGGGAAGATTAATCATTTTATTAAAACATTATAATGTGTCTCTATTAAATTACATATTAATTTCATGTATAAACTTTAATTTACAAATTTATTTGGATAGATTTAAACATAATTCATGACATAAATAAATTACAATTCCGATTTACCTATAAAGTTAAGGAAAAGAAATCTACATTTAATGTTTAGCTGAATTTATGTTACTTTTATGGTGATTAACATCTATACACGACAAAATATTAAGTGCTTTTAAAATTTTATGTTAAAAATACTTAATAAAGAGTAGATTGATAAAACAATAAGTTATAATATAAAATTCAATTAATTATCAAAAATGAAACTAACTGATTATACTTGAGCGGTATGAAAATAGTATTAAATGCTATTGTAAGTTATTTAATAAGATAGATGAACAAAGTCGTTTAAGTTGTTGTTCGAGATGGATTATCATACTGATTTTTTTGACTCATAAAAGTGCATTAAAAGAAGTATTATTAAAAGTTAAGCATAAATGTTTCATATATCAAAGTTTCATTGTGAACTGATTTATATTGAACGATATTGGAGTATGTAAAAAAGTATACTTAAAAAAAGCTTTGTTCAGGATTGCAACTACAGCCTTGGAATCTTTTTTATTGTTCTATTTTAAAATTTGTAGTTATGAAAATATTCAGCATTTGGATTATATTTTATAATAATTTGCATAATTTACTATGAAATTTATGTTCAACTTGTATAAAAATTCAAACATTATCTTTTTTTTTTCTTTTCCGAAAGCAACCATTGAATAATTTTATATGTTTGTTTCTTTTCATTTGACAATACGGTTTTTCTTGCATAGATTTAATTGATTTTACAATATTAATTTTAGGATCATTTGAATTTGGTCAGATTATTTATTGATATATATATTTTTGTTTTTTTTTTAAAAAAAAAAAATAATAATTTAATGTAATTAACCTAATCGATGTTCTTTTTAAAGTAAATTCATAATTTGTTTTTAAATCTAATTATTATACAGCCTTGTCTGTAGAAAAAAAAAATTCTGTCGAGCCTAAATAATTATTAAAGTTAATAGAATTGGTACTACTAATTAAACCACTTTATGTAACTATTTCTGTCAAAATCTTAATTTTGCAAGGAAAATTTATTGAAATCTCTTCTCTATTAAAAAGAATTTCTAAATGATTTAAGAGGATTTGATCAAACTACAATCATTGCTTCATAAATGGGTCAAAAAATCGATATTATATATGTTAAAACTTGATGCCATTTATTTATATAATTTTCATAAAAAAAATATTTACTATTAGAATAAACTTCTTGTAATCATTAAAGCAAAAAATTTTGAATGGAGCAAAATAGCTATGAAAAGTTTTAACAGAATGTGTTATTATTGGAGTACCTTATTTCCGGATTCCCGATTTAGAATGGTGGAGCATAATTCGGAGCGTCGAGGTTTGGATTACTGGAAAGTAGTTCTTCCTTCGGAAGGATCAACTTTTAAACAAGCAGCAGAAGCATGGAATAATTAAAAGTGGAGGAATCATGGTAAGAAAGATCCAATATGAAGCAGGTGGTGCAGGTGGTTTAACTGGATAGATCTTTTGAGTAACAATAACTCGAAAAACCGTATTATCGTAATCACTTTCGAGAGTTATGATATATTTCTCCGTCAAATAAGGACCATGAATCTCATATATGGGAGAGCCAATCGTTGGAACCGACCAGGAGATAACAAAACTGGTAAACGTGTCGTCATTCATGTAATATAAGGCAAAACCTTTCACCCCACCGAGAAATCTACTTGTAACACTAGAATACGCCTCTGCATGACCTTTTTCAAGAGGGTAGAATTGTGGTTCACAGCTAACGTTGTAATAGTAGTTGGTGTTGGTGTTGGTATTGATGTTGGTATTGTAATCATGAGATGTAACCCAACGACCACTTTCAAGACTGGCAGAAATCAGTTCAATACGATAACGACTACGATTAACGAGAACAATTGTAGCGACACGAGAGTGGTGTTCCAAAGCAAATTTACGTGCTAGAAAAGGACAACACTCTGCACTAGATCCGTCTTGACAATAAAATGGTACAATATCTTTTTCAAATAAAGGAGTTTTCTTCCCATTGAAAAAATCAATATTTTTCTCAGGCAATAAAGTGGCAACGATTTCTTGTTCATTTAAAGGGGCAACTTTTTGTTCAATCAGGGGAATGGAATGAATAAACGTTATTTGAAATAACTGAATAAGAAAGATATTGATTATGATAAATAGTGATTTAAATGACATCATGAAAATTAAATTTTCGGAAAATTGAAAATTATAAACTACTTATAACGTATAATCCGAAATATTTCCGAACAATACTTCTGAATAGAAGTTGCACTTAACAATGGTCGTATAAGTTTGAATATAAAAATTTTGGAAACGTTACGTTAATGCACATTAAAAAAAAAAAAAAAAATTTTCTAATTAAAAATGGCAACGGGGAAGAAATTAGAAATTGGTTTTAAATGATGGGATGGGGTATTTTGTGTATTTGTAATTTGTGAAACTTACCTTACAAGTAAGTTAATTGTACTACGTTGAAATTTTTTTATTATATTTGGTGGATCGGCGATTAAACTTCATAACACAAAATTTTTATTTTTTTAGTACAATGCGTGAAATGCATGGTGAAAGGCATGGAGGAATGATTTAAAATCGAGAAAATAATTTACGAGATGAATATTATACTGAATCTCAATTGCAATCTTAAAGTCGCTAATAATAAATGATTATTTTTTATTGCCGTTTCGCGCCAAACACACACATATGCTATCATGTGATATCGAAGTGTCATGACGTTCTAACTTGATTAAATTATAAATGAAATTTTATTTGATTGATTATTCAACTTTGTTAATAAAACTTACTTTCAAAAGAAGTCTAATTTTTTATTGCACTAACTTTCTGCTATATCTGCAAGGTCGTGGATATACTTTTTGTATTTACTATCATCAAATGTTATTGATCGAAGAAATTTATGGATGCTCCCATTTTTTTGTTTTTGTTAAGAAGTTTGAAGCAATGCATTAAGTATGTACATAGACCATTTCATAATATATTACGTCCGCTTTCTTAGATATAATTTGAAAGCTTAGATAGAACCATCTGAGAATCATACGGTGCATTTTCAGATGGAAGTAATTTTCGTGGTATTGCAAGCACACTGTTAGCTGTAAAATTAACATTATTATAAGATCATCAAAATTGATCTACAAATTATTATTTGACTTAGTTGACAAATATGACAAATTGGTCATATTTGACCGATCTACCATATTTATCATATTTATCATATTTGTCAGATTTGTCATATTTGTTATATTTATCTTATTTATTATATTGGACATATTTATCTTATTATATTACTATTAGTTTATTTTATATAAATAGTATGTATTTGTTCTTGAGTTGAAGTATAACTTAAGATAGAGATTTGTAAATAAACTAAGAATTAACTAATTATCTTCAAAATATAAATATCAATAAAGACGATCTGACCCTTCAATTAATTAAATTCGTGTATATTTCTTTCATAGTTTAGACGTAATTAAACTCCCTGTTAGCAAATAAAATTGTTAACTTAACGATGAACAGTTTAAGCTTAACAATGCTAAAGTTGATAATCAGTTGTAAAATTATAGATTTGTTCAAATTCGATGAGTTTCTTTTCGGCTATTGTTATTTAATTTACCATCTTTTTTTGAGCCAATGCATTTACTGAAATCTCTGATTCAGAATCTGCTGAACGATTAACAAGAGGAGTTGAATCTGTAATTGGATTTTTTCTAGGTACAGGACGTTTTGGTCTCAAAGTTTGTATATTGTATAGATTAAATGGAGTAGCAAAATAATTTTTAATGATATCATCAATTTCAGTTTCGTTCTTAGATTTAATCTTGTTCCATTCTTATACAGCTTCATGACAAGTATTAACACGGTTAGGAGTACTATTTCTTATCTTAACTATAATGCTGTATACATAGGCGTTTGTGAAATTTTGATACTTATTTGGTTTCTTGTTAAATCTAGGGTTAAAAAAAAGGTCTGATGATTCATTTTACTTAAATACAATATTGATTTATTTTTGTTTTATGAAAAAATTTCTTTGCTGTGAAAGTATGAAAAAAATTGAACGTATTCAAAACTAGTTTTTTTTTAAATGCGAAAACCTCTTTCTTATGTAGCAATGTGCATAATTGTCATAGCGCATGAATATTATTAGTATGCAATATAATAGAATACTAATTTTTAGAATACAATTTAGAACACTTTATTTTATAATAATAAAGAATTTGATTAATTTGACTTTTCATTTGATGCATGATTCTATAAAAGGTAAATAATCTGCATACACATTGTAGAGTCAACAATTTCATTAATTAATGCGTAGCAATACAAAAGAAAATGATCAACAATATATAGTAAAAATTACAAGTAAAAGTTATATGATAAAAGAAGGAATAATCATGTTATTAAGAAAAAGTATAATACTTGGATAAATTATGGACTGAAAAGGAAGATTACACAAGACAGATAAATCACGAAATAAAATGATTCAGATAAGTTAGTTATTAAAGGAAAGAGGATAATTAATTAATCGAATAGAAGGTCAAGGAAAAAGAATAATTAATTAACCGAATGGAGGGTCTTATAAAAAGACAGAAAAATATTTGAAAATAACAAATTGAAGAAGTTACATGATATGCAAGAAGGTTATACAAAAGGCACATTTATTAGAAATGACAAACTGGACCACACAAAAGTTTGTATAACATAAAGGTTACATATAACATCATAAACGAAAGGAAATCAGAAGAAGAATGAAAGTTAGTAGTAATACGAAATATGAAAGAAAGACAGAAGTACGGAAAAGCAAGAAGGAAAAATTATTATTAAAACATTAAATAATTATAAGGAAAACAAATGAGAATTAATATAACAGAAGTAAGAATAATATAACGGAAGTAAAAGTAATATAACGGAAGTATGAATTAATACAACGAAATGAAATTAAATAGTAAACAGTAAACAATAAATAGTAAACAAATACAAATACAGAATTTAGTAATAAACAACAGAATATTAGGAATAATAGTAAAAATAGAAATCTTAAAATAGAAAATCATGTAGTAAAAATCATGTAATGAATATTAATAAGTGAATTTTATTATATATAGGCTTAAGAGTATCTTCTAGGACAGTAGATAGAAAAAAAAAATTATCCAAAAAACTCCTAGTAAAATTTCCAAGAAATTAATTTTAATAAATAAACTTTTAACACAAATAAAAAAATGAATACTTTTGTTTGAAATAATTAATTATTGAACAATAAATTATGGAAATAAATAAAGTTATTACACTTGTATATAAACTATGATTTTATAAAAATGTTAATGAAGTAATGTAGAAATGAAACTTATAAGGAATAATAAAAATACAACAGAAAGTTAAAGAATATTTGAACACAATGATACGAAGGAAAAATAAATAAAAGAATTAAAGGAGAATTTAAAGAATAATAATGAGAAGTAATATTCGGAAGACATTCTTAAGAAACATTCAGAAGATATTCAGAAGAAACATTTAGAAGACACATTCGGAAAAAATATAAAGAAGAAATATTTGGAAATAATATTCGTAAATAATATTTGGAAGAAATACTCAGAAGAAATAAAAATATATGATAGTTGGAATTAGATATAGAAAGAATAAAAAGAAGGAATAAAACAACTTAAAGAATAATTTGACGGAAGATTAGACAACAATAATATTGAAAAGAAATTATTAAAAGAAATTATCACTTAACGTGAAGGAAAAGATTCTCAGCAATTAAAAATTAATTTGTAAAATAAATCCTCTTGATGTCGAGTGGCAGAAACGATTAAGAAGGTACAAGCTATGTTGAAGTTTATTGAACTCAAAAATGCTATATATTTGTAAAACAAGGATTATGGTAACTACAACGTGATCAGAATATCTTACCTAGTAGTGGGGTAGATGCTTATAATAAAATTTTATTAGGTAATAAATGTCATTGCTAAAGATGAGAACTGTAATTAATATGTTGTAACTTTTAATGTTGCAACTTACGTTGCAATTAGTTTTAACCTATATA